CAGTTGGGTTCAACTCATACTCATACCACGCTAAATTTTACATGTCTTGGTATCATATAAATGGATATCGATTGTATGATTCAATCCCAGAGACATGTGGATATGTTTTTTGAGTAGTACACCACTGGCGCCCGACCCATTGTTCGCGGTGCCTTCTCGGCGGCGGCCTGGCCAACACCGCAGGCGTCTTCAAGGCCTTGGAGGACTACTCTTGTTGATGAAAGTCGCAGGTTTGACATAACTTCACATCTCGTTGAAGCCCAACCTTTCCCTCCCTCCAACATTCAGGTGGACCATATGTTTCTTGTCAATGACGCCCTCCATCCTTTCTGACGTCAATGCACTTACTGATGACGAAGATGCACCACCTGTTGTTGCTACACCAGACCCGGGGCCCACACAGTCGATCGAAGCGGTCGCCAAACGTCGGCCTGCAAAGCGCAAGCAAGTGACAATCGTCAATCGTGCAGCCAGTGGTGGATGGGCGTGCTTTGAGGCACAGAGTTGAAGGACCTTGTGGCTGTCGGTGCCAGTGCTTCGCCCCATTTAGAACCAGTGACACTTTTGATCAGCTGCGCAAGGTTCGAAAGGAGTTGATCGGGTTGGAGAAATTGGAGCAGGACAACTATGCCTTGTCCTTATAGTGAGTTTGAACTCGTTCGTTGACCTATGCCTGCAACAACCCTACCCCTGGAATGCTGAGGTCTTCAACCTGTTGAAGGGGCATGAGGTTGCGTGTCGTGGAGCCCGTCACCTCACCCTGCTGGGACACACTGTGTGCAATCGAGGGTTCATGCGGTTGGTTGGAATCGGGAAGAGTCGCTTTCGAACCATTTCCAAAGCAATCAATGAAGGCTTAGTGAGGTGTCCGATGGACGCCAGATTCTTGCCGAAGGAACCTAAACCCCAGAGAGCGAAGAGGCAGGCTGTTTGGGACTACTTGTGGGCCCTCTATGAACAGGCTGCGGAGCGGCTTCCGGATGGAAACACAGTGCATTCCAACAAGCGCCCAAGGCAAGGCGCATTCAAATATGACGATCCAAGCATGTCTCGTGATGAGGTACGCCACCTTCCACCTGGCACCTTCGCAGACTATTTGCGTCTCTGCCGGTCAGAGCTTCCCGATTACAAAATTTCCCGCCAGCTCTTTTGCTCAGCCAGAGCCTCAACATGATTTCTCAAAGGTATCGAATCATTGAAACTAGTCTCATCGGCGACCAACGCCCAGGTCTGGATGCAGGACTTCCAGCACCGTCTCCGACTCCGGCAGCAGAGTCACCACGCACGTTGTTCGATTTGCGTGAGGCACCGCCTCATCATTCGCCGCTTAGGCCGTGGCCCCGCCAGACTGGCGCAACTCGGGGAGTACAGGGGCCACCTGGCCCGTCAATACCGTGACCGCCAAGTATATTGGAGTCACAGAGCAAAGAGCAGAACTGAGGCGATATCAGGAGGCCCTGTCACCCACATTTTCATGATTTGCGACGGTATGGACCAGGCAAAACATGCATACCCCAAAGGGGATGCCCTCAACGCCAAGGAGTTCTCGAGCTGGGTGCGACCCCGTTTACAGGCGACCACAATCATTGCTCACGGCCATGCAATCCTGGTCGGACTCAGCCCCCCAAAACACTCCCGGATCAGGTTCAAGAACCATGGAACTCATCGGATACATGATGACGAAACCATTGCATTACATACATTGGGCCAATGTATTTTTACATTTGGAGGCTGACAATTGCTCCCGTGAGCTGAAGCACCAGACTGGTTTACGCATGATGTCCTCTCTCATTGCACTTCACAGGCTCCGTGGCTGTGAGTTCAGCTACTTGAGTACCGGTCACTCTCATGAAGACATTGACGCTCACTTCAGCCTCACCAGCTCCTACCTCGACCGCTTCCGAGAACTTCACACCATCAATGATTTCCAGAACACCTTGCAAACAATGTTGAATAACAAAAGTGTGAGGGTGAATGAACCAACCAGAGAGGTCATTGTGTTCGACACCTTCCATGATTGGACTTTCAAATGAATTGGCATCATCTTTGATTCTGACCCTTGAAGTTTGAAGTTCCCCCCACTTCCTGTCACACCTCCATGCGCTTTCGCGCCTTTGCCGCCGGCAAGGAAGGGCACTTTGCCCACTACCTCCATGGACTGCACCTCAAGGGCATAGGCGGCCCCGGTGCGCCCCATGTGTTCCGTTTGGAGCGCGTGGCTGACGCAGGAGCCCTCAAGACTTGTGATTTGAATTGGAATCTGACTCTAAATCTAAATCTTTTGTGTAATCTTTCTAAATCTAAAACCATGCTTTTGGCGAGCGGTGGCAGGACTGGATCGCAAGTGTCTAATTTCCAAATTTTGGCGACGACGACATGCGGCGGAAGGGCCCAATGACGTGGTCCTGAGGATTGAACTGGTTATTCATGGGAGAATCTGACAAAGGGTAAAGGGATGTAAAATAAGACAAGTTGTCACAGTTCATTCTGGTGGATGAATTCTGGGAGGACCAAGCGGTTCATGAGCGATGAATCGTACCAGCCCAAAGTGTTCTTGTATTTGCCCGCCTCTGAAGCTCTCCGGCTGGGGCATGCTCCGCCACCTCCAGGCTTGGCAAGACTGTCAATGGACGTGCCAAATGCTTGCTTCCCAAGCAAAGTTTGGATGGGTGTTCACATCGGTTTTTACTTTTAACCAACTGTCTGACAGTCTTTGTCAATGACGCTGTGAACATCGACAGCGAGGAGAACAAGACCCTGACAAAACATGCTGCTATTCTGCGTTGCAGCCCTAGACAACCGAACTAAAATACACCAGAAACCATAATACTGGGGTTCATGGACCGGGTTCGTTCCTTCTTACTTGATAGCCTAGGCCAACCTCCCTTTGACATGGTGAAGGCAGCTGAGTGCATCGAGGATCTTGCGAACAATATCACTGGTCGGTATCCGCTGTTGGATGTTCACAGGTTCGATTCTTAGTTGGAACACTTGTTTACAGCTATTGGAACCTTTATCCAGCCCAGGGGGTTCTTTCAAACACTCGCCCAGGTGTTTTCCGAACTCTGCGCCTTCGGTTGGGCCCGGCATCGAGTGGCGACCTCCAGCATCAGGACAGAACTTGGAAGCTGTTGCTCGAACGAATTTGGGTTGAAAGTGGTTGAGAGTGTCCGGCGTGTTTCTTCTTTGGTACCGAGGCTCCAAATGAACTTAGACTGATTGCCGAAAGGCCTCCGCCCGCCGAGCGAAGGGGATATAGGAGGGCTGCTACTAGGGCAGCCCTGTACAGAGCTGCGGCCCGTTTGTGGGCCAGGGGATTAGATATGGCTTCGGCTGTATCCATTGTTGAGTCGGCTATGAGAGATGCCGGTGAGCTTTGATCATCATGTCTCTTTTGCAAAGCTAAGCTTTCAAACTCCTTTTGATATGCTCACCATGTCTCCAGCCTTTTCAGGGGGTAGTCGTTTTTGCTTGGCACGCTACTTGGTTCAGCCATGTTCAACTCCTCTTTCAATGTGTGATAGAACAACGCGATACTTGACTTAAACATGTGGACACAACTTGACCAATCACCAGTCCAAATGTGCCTGGCAAGCGCTCTGGTTGATCGATTCGATGCATTGAAATCCTCAGAAGCCAGGCTTGGAAAGCCAGGGTCTGAAGCAAGACTGATGCTTCAAGATCGAGCAACGTTGGGAAAGCAAAGTTTCAGCGGCCAGGGGTGCACGTGACACCAGACTCTTTGTACCTCTTGGTGATGTCTTAAACAGAAACTTGGTGAACCTTGAGGGATTGGATTGGTTCCTTTGTGAAGGCGTCCCATGCACAAAAGGCAAGGTGGTAAAGACCACCTATTGCGTGCTTGCGGGCACTGTCATCCATCACAAATCCCCTTCTACCAATGGGAAAAGTTTGTTGCGTAGAAAGAAAAATATTTTCCCTTTTTGGGTTCAGTATCAAAGCTTTTGTGCTTGCTGACAGTGTCCACAAGCACAACTACCCTAGCCAAGCTTCGGGTCAGTTTTGTGAACAAAAGAGGGATTTGGGAATAGTACTCATATTTCCCTGGCTGACTGATGTTTGTGGGACTTGCCACCACCAAAAAGATAGAGGAAACAACCAGTTTGTGAAGATTCGCAGTGCTACTCGGCACAAAACCAGGTGGTGGGAGGTGCCACCCGGCACAAAACCCATGGTGGGAAGGTCTCACTCGGCACAAAACCATGTGGTTGGATGTGCTACTCGGCACAAAAACCATTGTTGGGTGGTCCGGCTCGGCGCATAATCCACCGGAGGGAACCAATGCTATTCAAAATACAATCCATTATTGGTATGCTTCACTACAGGCCGCTCGACGCACTTCAAACTTTCTGGAGCATCCTAGGTCCCAAGTTGGAACCCAAGAGGTCTAGTGGTTCATAGTCAAACCCACTGAGAGTCCCAGCCAGGTAACTGCCATTGTGGTCTTTGCCTCGATGCCGAAACGCAAGACATCGATGCCGGAACCCAAAGCGAAGGCAAAGGCGAAAGCTTCACCGTCCCTTCCTGCGATTCCACCAGATTCGGCCAAACTTCCTCATATGAAATTGTTGAATGAATGGTTGACTTTCAGCTAAATTGGAACATGTGAAATTCAGTCTTTGGTTCGTTGTTTGTTCATTGTGGATCGAAACATATCGAAACCCAATGCATCAAAACCGAGGGATGAAGTGCTTCGGGAACATGGTGCCCTGGACCTCTATTTGAACAAGATGCTGGACACCAAGGACAGCCGCCAAGTGGTCGTCACTGAAAACTGCGCAAATTGTGCGCGCAGCCAGGAGAAATGCATTGAGTTCTACAACTTCATCGAGGAAAAATATCCACCAGTACCGGGTGTGTCACTGACCCAGGGAATCTCGTTCCAGTGGTTGTTGACAAGATTTTGACAGCTTCAGCTTTTTTGAGGTCGTACGCAACAGAGGACTCGTTCGATTCACCTGGCGGTCACCATTTACGGCCTTGGATGTTGCCGCACCATCCAGACTACGGTCTGAGAGGGACATGCGATGTTGAACATTGCTTTGTATTGAGTATGTTTTTGTTTTTTCAAACCGCTCCTGCAAATTTGTCGAGCCCGATACTGACTTCCCTTTCCCCTGTGGTTCGTGCCTCCGTCTTCGACCAGGATGTCCAAAGATGCCTCGTCCAACTCATTGGCCTGAACGGGTTCTTGACAAATCCGGACTTGCCCGGAACGGAGAAGCTAGTGATTTGCACGGTGGATGAGAAGTGGCTCTCTGTCCGCAGGGTGTGGGTATCTGCTGCTGAGCTAGCTTTAGCCTCGGGGGGAGAAGCTGATTTCTCCTCAGAGTGTTTTCACCGTCAAGGGGTTCAATCGCTCGGTATGCGCACTCTTGGTCCTTATGGCAACGATGGAGATGCCCGCACTCATGGAGGCCGGCGGGGAGGGAACGTCAAAAGGAATCACCGAATTCTGTGAGCTGTGGTGTGGATCAATCTTCACAACCTGAAAGCGAGGTCATGCCTAAAGAAGTGATCGAGTACTGACCTTAGCACTGTAACAACCGAGAACCCTTCATCATAAAATTCATTTCGTGGAACCTTGCAACCAGGTCTTTGAGTCTCGTCTACTGCACCAAGCAGAATGCAGAGCTGGCAAGTACAATCTCAACCCACCGAGGTGCTCCAAGTGCTTCATTGTTACACCTACTAGTCAACATTAAGCATTTCACCTAGTCAACATTAAACGGAAGATGCAAACGTCCAAGAGTATGTCATTCGTTGCCGATGGATCGCTTCAGGCGTGACCCTCACCAGCGTCATTCGCAGGCGCCCAAACTGTTTCAATTTGCTCCATCAAATGGAGATTCTCATGCGCGATGGGTGCACTACAGAATCCGCTGTGGAGGGACTTGAGGTGGGGAATTCTCATGAAGAAAAGCTAAAATGGCACCAGCGGGAACCATCAGGTCGCCCCCCATCCCTTTCGCGTTGGCAGGCCTTGGACTCGGCATCATCTGTGGCGGCTGCCTACTCGGTTGGTCGCACCGAGGCCAGTGCGGCCACCAACTTGCTGAAATCGGTCAGCGCTTCGACCCGAAACCAGCTGAAGGAGTTGGTGAGGCGATGCCCAACAATTTCAATCATTCGAAAACATGTCAATCTTGAGAT